TCCAGGATGACGTCAGTGTTTCTGTAGTTTTCTCTCATCTTTTCTACTAGCATTAAACACTTCCCTCCTTGACCCAAAACAAAAACTTGTTTTTGTGTTTTCTTGTAGACAAGCCTACAAGACAGCTCCCACCCCCCAAAAAAACTTAATCCAAATACCAAGAGCAGCCTTTAAAAGCTTAAACCTAAATGTCTCCACATAATGTTACTGTTGTAATGTAGCTTCCATAGTGTAGCGGTTAGCATGCCTTCCTTGGCAGCTGAGAGCAGAGAGTCCTGGGTTTGATTTTTCAAATTTTCAAATTGGGATCAATATAGTACAATATATATATTTAAGAATGATCATGCAACAATTTAAAAAATATTACGTGCATTTTCTAAGATATTTATTTATCTGCCTTACACCTGACTAATATTTACTCATGAATATAAATGGTTTCTGTAGCTAATATTTCATTTATTCATGTCACCTCTCGTGGTACTGTGACAGACAGCTGTGAGCTAGTACAAGTAAGTGTGTTTATCAGGGAATTAGGATTTTAATGCAACTGTTTTTTTCTTCTTGTCTAGTTTTATTCCTCTCCTCACCCCAACATCCTCCCTCTTTCTCCATTGTTTCACTACTACTGCTGCACTGGCCTGTGCCTTCAAATGAGCACCGGGGCAGAGTAATTATTCAGCAGGGGTTGAGTTGTGCTCCTCATTTCTGTAGACATTAGACAAGTCTTTTTGTGGAAAACATTTTAGAGATAAAATAAGTAAACACACAGCAAAGGAATAAGATAAGCTTCTGGAAATTTCCTAGATCCACTTTCATCTCAGAAATCTATTCCCAGGGGAGTTGGATCAGTATCACATCCACTCCAACACGAATGAATTATAAATAATCACATGCACACGCACACACACAGTGAACACACACACATACATGCTCACAAACTGCAGCAGTTTGCAAGTTTAGCCAAAAAAGTCTACTATTTAACCATATGAGTCGTTTAATATTTTGTTGTTTTTTCTGTCTCTGCAGGAACCAACGCCAAAACCAGCTCCATCATCACCAACTCCCACATCCTTAGAAACTCATCTTCCTCACCACAACAGGTCAGATGTTATATTCTCTTAACCTTTGAACCTCCACCTGTATTACAACTATTAAAGAAGTTATGTGTTTAATTACTTTGATGTTTTATGTTTCCCCTTTTAGTATGTGTACCAGTAGTACACATACATACCTCACTGAGCTGTAAAACATGTAGGAATGTTGTTTATTGTAAATGTCTAGCTTAATAGGAACTGCAGAGATGCGTTTTACTGAGCCAGGTAAAATCTTAGCTCTAATCTTGTTGATTTTTCTAATATCCCAGAGATCTACTGAAGCAGTCGTCGGATACGACAAATGTAATAAATCTGGGGTCCTTTCATTGTTTAGCTGACCTTTAGCCCCTGTGGCGTACCTTGTCTAGACATGGTGGATTATTGGAGCAGTGAGACAGCACAGTTCACCCACAGCATACAGTCGCTCTATGTCTGTGTCTCTATGTCTGTTTACAAAGATGTCTATAAAACGTTAAACCGTGGTCACTGGAAAACAAAAAAAAATGACAGAATTTAAAATAGTGGCGGTTATGCTCATATTTGGAGCTTGAGGTTGTGATGGCATGCGGCCGATGGCAGTTAGGGATTCCTAACCGACAGATCGTTGGTGGTTTCTCTGTAGGAGGGACAACCAAGAGTAGGGAGACTGCAAAACACACATAGCTTTGTCCGTCAGCTGTCAGTCAACAGTGTGCTGATGGCTTTGCAGAAGTTGTTGGGGAGACGATGGATGGGTTTTGTTGTATGGTAAGGTGCTGCTGAAGTGATGAAATACCATATTGGACTGATTGTAGATGCATTATCAGTTTTTCTACTCTCAGATTCCTGACTCCCTGTGTTGTCCCCACTATTTGTCCTCCCTATTATTGATCAATCATAGAGGAAACTTAGGGCCAAATGATAAATCAATATGAAATATCTAACCAATCATAATGGATTTTTTAATTGTTATATAATAGGTTGGTCATGGTGGCGGTGCAATCAGACCAGCGACCCGGTGCTCTTCAAAGTTTTGCGTACTTTTCTTTGTTTTTGTTTTTTAACCACTCAAACCATGGTTCCATCAAAGTGCCACAGGCAGAGGCAACACAGGAGGCAGAACATTTTTAATTGTGTTTTTATATTCTTTAGTAGAAGTAAAAATAAAAGTAGAATTATCAGTTAACTAAATCAGCTCATCGCCCACTTTATACCCTGTATTCTAATAGATTTGATTCCTTTTCTAGTCCTTTCTAAGTCAAAAGCCATGACCCAAAAGTGAGTCCCTGTGCCAAATTGAGTGCCTCTCAAAAGTGTGTGGGTGGAAAAAGTGCCGCGGGAAATGTCATGTGGCAGAATGTGTGCCGTTGCCATTCAGGGCAGTTACTGTCATGACAACAGGGTCCATCATGTCAGGAGCAGTGTGGAGTCAAGCTTGTATTACTGGGACCAAAATGAAAGTACAACACAGGCTACGATATTGGTTTTTACTCTTCTGAGGTTAAACACTGAGCCAAAGCCGCAGTGTGTTGTTTGCATTTACTGCTTGCATAAGTACAAAATAATCCAAAAATGAAGTGCCAGAGTAAACCTTACTTCTACCCTTACATTGGATGACATCATTGCAAGGTAATGCATATTTTGTGAATAAACATAAGTGGTTAAAATACGAGTATGTATAAACATCGATCCCAGGGCAAACATGTTTGTCAAATCCACAGCGGTGGCCCCCACTCACCCGTTCTCTCCCTTCCTCTGGACATGTCTCCCCTTCATGGTTACTGGGTAGCTTCAGGGAAGCTGGACTTGAACTTTTCTGAGAACCAACTTTGGATTAAACACAAAGGAGGACATGGACCAGGAGTCAAAACTTCTGCCGGTCGTTCTTCTTGAGGTCACAAATGCGACCTAATGTCGTTAGTCATCCTGTCTTTGTCCACTTTGACTTTGTCCCTCCTACAGTACATGTCTAACAAAGTGCCCTAAGTTTAAGTTTGTAGTTTTGTCGGTTTTGTTCGTTGTTGCAAAAACCAGTGGGAGAGTCGAACATTATTCAGAAGTCAGCGTCGTTTCTGATTCTCATTTGTCTGCAAAGACGGTTGCAATGTAGGCGTTGCAGAATTGCACAGATACAGGAGGGTATTGTTGCAAAACTCACTTCACCTTCTGTCTTATTCGTTCTCATACATTCAAATGAACAGTACAAACTAAAGCAAAAAAAAGATCCCACAGTAGAGGTCAGGCTACCTTTGACATTGAGAGAAAACTGCTGGCTATTCTTTGGCATAACGCATGGGTGTCAAACATACGGCACGCGGGCCAAAACTGGCCTGCAGGAGGGTTCAATCTGGCCCACTTGATGAATTTTGAAAGTGAAAGAATGCACAAACAGCTCATGTTCGTGATGTTTTGTCAAATTTTATTTCATTAAATATGAAGTTTTTGTAATAACCTTGTACTTATTTGCATGAAAACAAAGGAGAAAAACATGGACTTATTGTTATTTGTAGGTAATTATGCTATGATTGTACTTGTTTGGCCCTCTTGACATCTAATCAGGCTGAATGAGGCCCCTGAACCCAAAATGAGTTTGACCCCCTGGGATAGGGACTGGTTGGCAAAGCAGTGACACATATGAGGTGAACCATGGGGCAGATACAGTGTATTAGAACAGAATAAAAAGACAATGAAGTGGGTGTGACGGCATGGTGTACCTCCTGAAAAAAGAATCTCAATTAGAACAAAAAGATTTCACACTTTCTAACGGCACTGTCAACTTGTATTTTCTATATTCAAATCTTTAGTTTCAAAGTTTGTGATGGAGCCAACTCAGTATGAGATTCAGGTTATTAATAGCTTGACATAAACAGACAGTAAAAAAAATTTGGATAGAATTAGTCCATATGGAGACTGTGGTTACAAAGTTTTGAACATATACTCAGCCACAACAGGCACTGGTGCTTTGGCAGCAACAAAGTTGCATCTTCTAAATAGTTGATGTTTTCTCTGCCATGTGAATGTTTGACAGAAGCTGAGACTGGTGAATAAAAAAATATAACTCTGGTGAATAACTCTCCCCCTTTTATGTGGTGGATGGACAGAGGTGTGTTTGTGTGTGCGTGCACTGTCCTCAGGGTGTGCATGTTTGTTTTTGTCTGTGGGGAGTGGGCGGCTGTCTGTCTGAATTATAGATGAGGGACCTGGGGGGTGGGGGAGGAGGGGTGGTGGTGGTTTGGTTTAAGGAGGAACAGGGGGACAATGAAAATGACAAGTTATAAGAGAACTGCTGCAACATTTGGACACATGTTAACTCCACAGATCAACTGCTTTTACAGATCAAGAACTTAAACATCACATCCATGTACAAAGTTAAAGAAACATAACCAGACAACCAGGCTATTTGTGGCATTTTATACCAGAGCATACAAAATTACAATTTCTGAACTAGACTATAGTCACAACAAGTATATAACATTTAAGGTAGAAAGGAATAAGGTAAAAAAAGTTAAAAGATTGAGTTAAATCTGTGACTGAGATCGGGTTCTGACTTGAGTCTGGTTTTCCTCGTCACCACCTTGTTTCCTCTCTTTTTCCAAATACTTGCCTTATTTGTCTAACCCTACATGGAGGTTAAATTAATTGGTTTGGAGATAAGATATTTGGACATGTTTTAGATACTTAATGGTGATAAATAAGGAGTGGGGAGTCCTTCAAAACATTGGCTTACAGTGTAGATTTTAACCCTGCAAATGTCCTCTCTTCTTGTTAAGGCTGAACAGCTGTGCCATGTCAGTCCGTAAGACATTTTATTGCTCTAGGATTATAATGTTGTATTTGTTGTTTTAACTTCTTTTCACTTTTCTATCTACATTTAGCAACTCCCTCTGTGTAAAAGTAGACACAATATGATATTATTGAAAATAGCCATGCCAAAGTAAACATTTTAAGAAAAAAGTAATAGTTGATGTGTCCATACCGTGGGTTTTATGAGTGAATATAAGACAATAAGTATCTTATAAATATATAATGAGATCAGGCAAGGTGTTTAAAGATGGTGGACATCTTTAACGGTGCTATAAATACACTCCCGACACGTTGTAAACTGTAGTTAATTTTTAAGGACGTCTTGAAGAGCTTGTCCTTCCTGCTATGTCAATTCTATTTCCCTCTTCCTTTTTTTTACAGGCCTCTGCTATAAATCACTCTTTTTCCTGTTTGGAGAATCTGAGTCCATCTCCCTCTTTCAACTCCCCCCCCCCCCCCCCCCGTTTCTTTCACACTGGTTTAATGTTAACAGGATGCTCTGTGTTCGAACTCCTCACGGTCCCAGAAGCAGAGCAAATCTGCACATTTGTCTTTCTTCATGCTTGCCTTTGAGCCTCATCTCATCTACTGACTCAGCCCCAGTGGACTAATCCAGGAATTTAACAAATCTTAAAAACAGCTCCTCGGTGGAGTCTGTCCATTTGGAACAAATGGAACGTGTTCACTTCTAATCCTTTGTTTATGGAAAATATCACTGTTGTAGATCATTATCGTTCTTTTTTTCCTCTCTTGTTCTCACACAATACCTGGGAGTTTTCTTAGCTTTTTATTAAAAGATAGAAAATTATGTTCGGGACACTCGTTGTGTTCTTCAGTGTTGTCACCCTACAAAGGCTGACTGTGACAGACTACCGACTATTGTGACGGTGAACTTTTGGTTCATTTCCACTCTTGTTTTTTCCAACTGGCTGTTTGTCGATTATCAGTGATTAAACCTTCCCTGGTTTTGACAGAGAGGCAGAACAGTGACGTTGAGGTTAGCACAATGGTGTGACGGTTAGTGTTGTTGCCTGACAGCAAGAATGTCACTGGCCTGTGCTCTGACTCAGTGTCCGCTGTCACACAGTCTTCTAGTCTGTCATCAAACAACAACTCAGAAATTTGTTTTAAAAGGGTTGAAAAGGTCTGTAGGTCTATCAATCTATAGGTAATAATATTTCAGTGAGGTATTTAAAGCCTACTGTATATGTTGGCTGATGTGTTGCTCCAGCTGATGCTCAGCAGGATTGAAACGTTAAGTTTAAGTTTCTTTGACTTACCCTCACATGTTGCCCTTCTGTCATCTGCCCTGCAGGTCTGTGCTGACACTCAACGCTCACCTGTTTTATCGACCTTTGAAGACAAGTCCTCAATTCAGGTAAGGCCCTGAAGAGAATCCAGACGTGGATTAAAAGAACCTACTCCATGTGGTGCCCTATAAAGAGCAGGAATTCCTGTCGCACTTGTAGAACTTAAAGCAAAACATTGAAACCTGCCCTGTAGCCAGATGGACAGTCCACTTCAACTCACAGCCTCTCGTGACATTTCCCACTCACTTTCACCGTGACTAATTGAGACTTGGGAGTCAGATGCTGAAGCCAGAGGATTAGCCTCACTCTTTGTGAATGTCTGTGAGAAGATGGGAGGGGTTTCCAACACGACCGCCAACATGTGGAGAGGGATTAGAGCCAACAGTTGGGGGTACGATTTCACATGAGATATTTCTGCCGTCGTTTGGTCACAAACTACTACTCTACTCCAACTCCAACTCCAACTACTCCAACGACTAAATGTAGATTTTCGTGGGTAAAAGTTTTTTTCTTGTGGGTGCCTAAATTTAGTCTGTGTTAACAATGTGTTTCCTGAGTGCCTGTGAGTTATGGGGCTGTGGATACATTTGAAGGGTCTGGCAGTTTAAGGGTGTGATGTGGTTCAAATTGTGGGTGTTTACTCACGTCTGCCGCCTGTCTGTGTGTTGGTGTGGATGGCCGTGGGCTGGGGTGGATCTCTGCTATGAACGAATGTGAAGAGTATGGGTTGGCTGGGATGATGAGTCCTGTGGAGGGAGCCGAGAAAAAGACTGTATAGAAGTGTCACTGCTTTTAATCACTGTTGCAGCAACATTTTTAACATGGTGATGCCAACTGCAGTAACTCAGCAGTTGTTAAATCACACGCAGCCAGAAATGACCAATGACCTTAACAGCACAACAAACAACCAGCCATCACTTTATTGATCATTTAAATGGCTTTGCCCCTTTTTTCTATCAGACCCACCCCAGGGGGGCAGAACCAGCAGGATCTAATGACCTATTTCTGTGGCTCTGCAGCCAGCATCGTCCATCCTCCTGACCACCACCAGCCCAGCCCTCGCTTTTATCTCTCACATAATTGTGTCACCATGGGAACAATGACATCATATCTGGGGCAGGGCTGATGTGTGCCAGGAGACATCTACCAGTGCAGTGTTATTGGAGGAAAAGACGAAGGAAAATGATGCAGCAGTTATTTTTGTTTGACATTAATTCAACCTTGAAATAACTGTAAAGAATAAAGAGGATTGGTTAATATCATTCAGAGTGAAAAGATCATTATTATATGTTTAAAAAAAACCTCTGACTTCTTTTTTAATTACTGTACAAAGACTGAATGATGAGGCCAGTTTTACTATTTATAATTAGTCTTTAATGTACACATTTTAATTAATACAACATTTATGTACATGTAATGTTTACTTTTGTATTTAAATGCAGTATTAAAAAATATTTTACTAAATTAAAAAAAAACAGATACCAAAATACTCCAAATATACAACTGTGTAAACTCTATGCTGATCAACAGAGGGCAGTCTTTCAAGATTTATTTCAGTCAAGTTAGAGTTATTCCAGTGGTTTCTCAGTCAGTCAGGGCTTTTTGTCAGTCCAGTTCATCTTTTAAACTGTGTGTACAGTGAAATACCTTCTCTCTCTTTGTGCACAATCATCATGTACTGTTTAAGCATAAATGCCTGCATCTGCGCAGCAGGTTTTATTGCGATCATTTCGCTGGTGTTCGTTCACACTTGACTGGCAGCTCCCACACATCCTGCTGAGTCAACAAAACATAATCTGCTTTTCTGTGAAGGAGGACAGGGAGAGGGAGAAGAGGAGGAATCCACTGGATTCTGTGTTAATTACAGGTCACAGCACTCCTGCTGTCTTACTGTAAACTCCAGGCTTCTGTTCAGTCTAAAACATAATCCATCTGCCAACCCTTTTTTTACAACTTTTGGAGAGTAAAAAATATGGTAACACAGAATTTACAAGGTTTAATTTACCAGTAAATCTGAAGGACTCGGGGTTTTTTATTGCTGTTCTGTTATTGATGTTCTTCTTTGCTGGAGTAGAACAGCAGTTTGATGTAAAAACATCAAAATAAGTAGCCTGACATTGATTTGCTGTACTGAAGAAAAACAGATACCTTCTTTAATTTGACATGTCCAGACAGAGCGTGTTTTACTGGAAAATGTTTTCTGGTAAATTGAATTTCCAAATACTGTGATGATGATATCTAACATACAGTACATTTGGAGTGAACCAGGAAGCTGGATATTTAGGAGAGAGCAGAAACAATCTTATTATCTTTATCTCTAAAATAAAAACACATGATTAAATATTCAATAATGTTCAGGTGATCAAAACAGCATCATGTTTTGTGATAAGGATATATTTTATCATATGTTGAGTTGGTGAATGAATCCCCATATGTAAATACACTCCGCTGCTCACACACACAGGATTAAGGCTGAGAGAGACCCTGTCCTCCCTCCTAAATCGATGGGGACATTCCGATGTGAGTGGCAATCCACAGAGGCATGATGGCTGACCCAGATTGGGAAGGGACTGGTGTAAGGGGCGGGGGATGTTTGCTGCACACTGGGAGAAACGGGAGGGCAGATTAATAATGAGAAGGGCCTGACAGAAGAAAAAAGGTGCCCCAGGCCACAGCTTGGAGCACTAAACCTGGACATGTCTGATTGCCCATGTTAATCCTGTAACGTAGGGTATCTTCTGATACTGACATCAGTCTAATACCTACTCATGTATATGTTTTCTATATTGTATAGATCTACGTGCTTATGTTGACTTGACTAGAAAAAAAAAGGAACGGTAGATCATAACTTAAATCTACTTAACATTATTTTAACTGCATTTTTATTGGAGATTGTGTGCAATGCAACACAGCACGTTAGATGCCATCAATTTGTGGTGTTTCTTGTTGCTTCCTAGTCAGTCACATTGTATAATTCCGTTATAAAGACTGACCTGGCTGTCATGTCTGCAGCAACATCATCTATATTTGTAGTGCTGCATGCAGTAAAACAGAGAAGTCAATGTGCACGTAACCTAAGCTCTAAACAAGGCACATAGAGGAAAACTAAAGTAACATCCATGACACCTACACTGCCATGGAGAAAAGCTGGCTGTAGCTCCCCACTTACAGCTGTGTCTGTCACTGTTTATGTTGATGCACGTGTTCCAGTTCACATCCTGAGCCAATTAGGTCAGCTACCTGAGGTTCTAAAGTAACCAACCAAAGGCAGAGTGAAGCCAGTGACGTCTTAGGTAATGCTGGATAGCAGCACCTGCCCACAGCTCTCTCTCTCTCTCTCTCTCTCGCTCTCTCTCTCTCTCTCTCTCTCTATATATATATATATATTTATTTATTTATATATATACATATATAGGAGCCTGATGATATCCTATTATATATACGTATATGCAGTGTTTGTGATCTATAATACCAGGAGCCGGCCTAAATAGAGCTGGGTCTGCATATCAGTGTTGTGCCTGTTTACGTTACTCTACAGATAAGTCCTTGTCTACAACTGGATTTTCTCTCTCAAAAAAATAATATTTAGCTTAACTTTCTCAAACAGCCACAAGTTAAATTGCGGGCTGACCCTGCACTGACCCTCTCTTGAGAGTGTGGGAAAAAATGCAGACTGCAGTGCAGAATGAGACTTTTTAAGCCTTAATGCCTCATAGGCATTGTTTTGTCTAGGAACATGTCCATTTATCCCACTTTCTCTGAACACAATAGGAGTGATGAAAAGCTAAAAGGAAGCGATGAAAGAGTGCAATGTTGGATCTCATTTACTGCACGGGGATGAAAGGGCGGGGCTAGGTAGACAGCAAAGTCGTTTGTGTGTGTGGCGTGAGACATCAGAAAAATGTACTGTATTAGTGTGAAAGTTCCAGAATAGGTTTGATGGATGATTTGTAGCTTTTTGTCACCAAATCAGTGATCCTCCTGTGGTTTTCCCTGCAGCTTTAGGACTCTTTGTTCTTGTCACGTCAGCAGGCGAAACCATGGATAATTTTCCCCCAATTCTGAACCAGCTGGAGGACAATCCAGCTTTGGACCATGTTCCTCCTTTGATAGCGCTGGAAAAAAAGACTTGTGAGATTTACAGTGCGAGGAATGTTGGCTCTTTGTCCTTTAGTCGACTGCAGTAAACATTAGCCAACATCAGTGTGAGACAGTCGCCAGGCAGAGCTGCAGGAAAATGGAAGGAGGGGAGAGAGACCTGAGTGGTGGAGTGGGAGAGGAAGGGTGGGGATGTCTCACCCACAGCAAGTGCACTCTATTCTCTCATTGGTTTATATTTAAATTAAATTAGTGAAATGGAATGATAAAGGAGAAAATACGCTCAGCAGAAGAAAAAAGAGATAAAGAGCTGATGTGGAAACGTGTAAATGATGCATTTAAGTCATTTCCAGAGAGATGTGGAGGTTTTTAAGAATGCATTTTATTTTAAATATATATAATTTATATTTTTAAGTAAGATTATAACCAGTTTATCAAATTTTGAGTATTTTGTGTATTTTGAGGCCCTTTACCTATTTCAAAATATATTTTTTCCTTCCTGTCTTGTGATTTTTGAGGGGCTTGTATAATGAAGTGTGAATGTAAGGGCCTGCTCTGCATCAATAGCAGAATTAATGTGTCTAGGTGTGTATGTGTGTGTGTGTGTGTGTTTTGTCTGAATGAGGCTGTGCTGTCAAACTCATCTGCCAGAACCCCCAATGAAACCTGTTCTAGTTACCATGGTAACATCCTATATTACTGAAGGGAGGACATGACGTGTGTGTCCACATTCTATGTATAATTGTGTATGACATTTTAGTATTACTGCACTGCACTGTACTGTACTGTACTGTGCCGTGCCTTTGCACACTACATGATTCCACAGGTGACACAGCAGTGAAATGTGACCAGAGCTGATAGTGAAGAGTAGATACAGTGTGTCGTTAACATCACCTTCTGTCATACCACATGGACGCCGAGACAAAGAGGCTTCAACTCAGCAAGAACGGGGGAAGCTGCGTGGTTGTTTCATCCCCTCTAGTGGCTGATTTGTGAAGTTCACTACTTTATCTTTCTGCGTTTACCTGGATCTGCCTACATAGAAACCTTAACATGTTTTTTTGGTCTTGTGTTTTATTTCAAAACTCTTTTTACCTTCTAAGTTATCTAAATTAATGAGATTTAGTTATCCTAAAAACATTTGCAGTTTGCCTTGAGCTGTTATTAACTATTTTAGTTTTTTAATTAATTTTTTGTTTTCACTAAATTGTTGAAAAACTGTCAGCTGTGGTACAAACATTTTTTGTCCAACGTTTTTATTAAGGAATAACTTGAAATTTTCTAAACTTATGGTCATCTTCACTGTCTTCAACAGGTGACCCATCTCTGTCCCAGCATTCCCTGCAGGCAGGAATGGCAGACGGTCGGCAGCCAGACGAGCACTGGGCCTCTAACGGCGAGAACGGCTACTCGGGCTACAGCTCTGGCTACAAGCAGAACGGATACCATGGTGGTGCAGCTGCACATCCTGGAACAATAGGTATGCACAGGAGCTTGGCTGAGGTGTGTGTCTGCATGGTTCACTGGGTCGCAGTGTCATTTTTGGAGAGCCCATACAGTGACACACACACACACACCACCAGATGGCTGAAGAGGTGGTTGTTTTAAGTTGGTTGACAAATCCTAAAAGGCAGTGGATCGTACAAACACTTTCACATTTGAATCAGAGGTGAAAGAGAACAATATGCTCTGACATTACTGCGATATTCCATCATACCTTGCGTTCGTTGCTCAGGAAATTGGTTTACCAAATAAATATAAACATTATGTTAAATCTTAAAGTGTGACGCCCACAGAGATGAGGTTCAGGTGATTCATATTTCATTTCCTTCCTTCCATCCTTGTTTTGTCTCTCCCCGTGTCTCTCTCCTTCTCTCTCTGCTTTTCACAGTGGATGACTCAGCCAATCTGCCTCCCTCCCCTCCCCCCTCTCCCTCCGCTGGCCAGATTGGGCCTGTGGCACAAGGTACACAAACACACACACAGACTCATATATACTTGTAACCTCACCAGAGCCTTCCAGCATGAAAGTGTGTATGGAATCAAAAGTATCAGGAAAAAAGATTTTCATTAGGAATACTGCAGCCTCTTCCTCCTCTTTTTTCCTTTTAAAGACAAAAATGTTCACTATACAGTACATTCTTCTCACACATAGCATACTTCCCCTTTCTCTCACCTGACAAGCCACTGGAGCCCCTCATTCCAACATTTGTTTTCCTCATTTACCTCAACTCACCTTCTTTGTTAGCACTTTGTGTTCTTTTTAGCCCTCACAACTGTCTTTTCTGTTTTCATATTGTATGTAGTAACCGGCAATCTACAAAGTTAGTTCATTACATTATAATGTTGAATTTACTTTTTTTAAATAATCCTATTTAGAGTAAAATGAAGGATGGACTCCTTAGCAAAACACAGTAAAAACCAAAACTGTTTTTTGCACCCATTTTTGAGTGACATACCTCTGTACATTTCCAACATATATTATTGATATTTGGGAGTTATTTTGGCATCAACCAGTAAGATTGGTCACTTGATGCTTAATTATAATCTTTTTTTTTAGGCCTTCCTTTTCTTATTTGCTTAATTTTATTATTTATTTATGTAGAATATTGTATTGTTAAATTAAAATAGATGTTAAAGTAACCCTAAGTCAACCTAGGGTTAGGGTTAAGTCAACCTAGGCTTAGGGTTAAGTCAACCTAGGGTTAGGGTTAAGTCAACCCTAACCCTAACCCATTATTGATATAATGTAGCATTTTTTCACCATAATTAAATATTTCAGCAAAACCGAAAATGAGGAAACCAAGACTGAAACAAGGAAAGACAATATTCTGTCAATTATTAGTACCATTGTATTTATGTCTATGACCTCACTAAAATCAAGGCATTGCAATTGCATGAATTAATATTAATGTCATGACCTGGATATTTTCTCCGGGCGAAGAATTTCAGTGGACGAATATTCAGTTGATCCTTAAATATTTCCTACCAACTCAATGTTTTTAAATATTTATTTAGACTGTTTTTGATTGCATCCCGTCCATCTCCATCAGACATGAAAGTGTATTTCACTCCATGAGATGTTAGTATTGTTGTCATCCATGGCTCATCTGTGTGTGTGTTCTCCATGTGTTCTCCTGCTTAAAGAAAATACAATAAAGGTTGGTGATGAGGATGAGGAGGAAGAGTGCAGTAGTTACCCAGAAGGAGTGGCACATGAGCAGCCAGGAGACATGCTCCTAGAGCAGACAGATGATTTAACTGATCCCCAGGTTTTGGGCTGCCAGGAAGCCCAGACACCTGAGGTCCTTAATGGAGGGAGCCATGAAAGTGATCACAGCCTGACACAAAAAGGTGTGTGGTTTGATATTGAGCTCTGTGTGAGTGAGGACACTTATTCAGAGTGCAACTGTTAATTATCTACTCTGCATGATCCTCCTCTGCTCTGTTATTAAGCACAAAGACTTTCCGCTTTGCTACAACCTTTTTTTTTCCGCTTTGTTGTATTTAAGTTCTCAAGCTTCTGCTTATTTTCCCAAAGTAGATGTATGTAAGGAAAAACAACTCACCACTGCGTTTTGTTTTTTGCTTTTCATGTAAAACATCACCATTGGCTTTTTTGCTGGTGTGACATAGTCAAACTGGATCAACCACATTCAGGTTGATCAGTTGTGCACTTCTGTTATTGCCAGCTACATTGCAAATGCAAATGCAAATGTCATTCTTAAAATTGTTGATAACAGTATAATATGCATAAGTAACTGTAAATAAGATCTTTGAACTTTTATGTGGGTTTTGTTGGAAAACTGTGTGTGAGGAAGTTTGTACGTAAAACCACCTACTCTGTATATGGATGTTAATTAATTTGGATGTTATTTAATTTTATTTTTTTTGTTTTTGTGCGTGAGTCACTCCTCACTGTTCAGTACATTTCACTAAAACTAAACACACTCACTCTGTTTTCCTATTGTTGATAATATTATCCCTAAATTTCACCACCATTGGACGTCCTTACCTTATAGTAAAACTGTGTAACCAAACAATTTCTTAAAATTTTCCTCATCTACATATTTGTAGGAGTTCCTGCTAGCATTTTCTCCATTCGTTGTATTACAATAGGAATTCAATGTATCTGTAAAGTCACGCAACTCATCCTTTCATTCCAGTCCTGCACGCATGTGTGATTCCCTCTGTGCTGTTGTGGCCTGCCACAAAATACACTGTGCTGTGTGTTTTGCCTGATGCAGAGCTACCATGCAGCTCAGCTCTATGTGCAGACGGCCTCGGCTTGACTGTGTTAGCTAGCTTTTGTGGATGCTACTCGCACAGCTTTTAGCTAACATGACCTCCGACACAAAAAGTTCTACGGTATCGTTCCAATCTCACAGCCCAGCTGGATGAAGACTGTTTTGGTCAGGCGTTCTGTGAGCCTGCTATGAAAGATGAAAAACCTCAGGATTCTCCACGACATGACAGGGAGGTGGATGATTTTCAAGACTCTTCTTCAAAGGGCAAAAATGACAATGGAAAACAACCTGACCAGTCTTCACAAGGGCAATCTGAATGTTCTGTGACTGAGAGCACGGAGAACACCACGGTAGTTGATAAAGATGATAGAAGTGATATTACAGTGCAGGTGACCAACAACCAAAATCCAGAAATGTATGAGCAGCTCAAGGAAACATCAGAAATAATCACAGAACCAAGTCAAGGAGTGGCTTCCTACTTTGAGACGTCAACAGAAACTGCTGAAGAAGTATCACATGAAAGTCAGAGCTACTATGAACTCAGCACAACAGCAGAAACAAAGACAACTGGGCATTCTGAAGAAGGACAGGACCAAATGAAAGTCAAAATGTCTACAGAGCAGAGAAGCCTTTCCTTGAACATTAATATTGGACCCTCAGTTGGACCACCACTAAAGGAAAAGCCCATAATCCCACCTGAGAGTTTGGTACCAATCAGTGGAAGTTTTGATGATTCTGAGGTCTATCCTTTAACACATTTTTCAGAGACTGATGAATCCAGTTGTCCTCCAGCTCTTTGCATTACTCCAACCTTCCCTGAGTCACCGGATGATCAACCTGCTAAAGTGGAATCACCTAAACTGTCTGACCAGCACAGCTGTAGTTTTGAGAACATCAGTTGCCTCTCTGAGATGTTGGACCTGGCTGGAGCTCTGCATCAGCTGCCACCGGGGAGAAGAGAAACTGACTCCATTAGACGTAAATCGGTGCCCACAAATGTATCCCTTGTTAGCAGTTCTTTGGCCAAACTCTCTTTGGGGGATCCCACTTCAAAAAAAGTGGGTAGGGGAAGTCCTTCAGAGGATTTGAGCTACTGTGCATTTAATGAATATTTAGGGCCAATGCCTTCTCCTGCAGATGTACCCAGTCCTGGAAATTCTCCAAACCAACATTTTCTTCCTATTGAGAGTGGAGTAAAGGAGAACCTTGGGGTAGCAGATGTTGAAAGTACCCCCAGTGAGATGCAAGAACATGATTACAAAGAAACAGTTTCAGAGATATGTCACAGAGCAAAAACTTCCCCAGTTAAAACGTCCCTCAAGCTTGAAAAGGCTGTAACAAGTGGAGTTAAACCTGACCGTCTAAAAATCCCAGTGACTTCTTCCAAAGACAGACTCAGCGGCTTGCCCGGGGATATAAAGATCCAACCAATCCCTGAGGTCGATATTGAAAAAGATCCATCTAGAGAGGCCTCCCCTATCCCACCAGACAACGCTTTCACTTTTACCCCAACAGAAACTGGAAGCACGGGTCTCCCTTCTCCTACTACACCTAAGTCGCTTGCTGGACCACTTTCAGAAAGCAAAGATACTATCAAGAAAGAAAGCGAACATTTCTCTGTAGAGGTCAAAGCAGGACCAGAGAAAATGTGTGAAGACCAAGGAATTCCATCTCATGGCAATCATCAAAATGACAGTGAAAAACCTGCAAGACAAGAAGAAACAGCAGTTCAAGCCACCTCTATGGCTGTTCAGGAATCGGGTAATGAGGCCAAGATCCAGTTATGGGAGGACAAGGGATCAGCAAAACCACTGACACCCTCCAAAATTATTGTTATACCACAGGCACAAGTAGAAGAAGAAGCTGAGTATGATGATGACATTGAGATTGCTGAGGAACCGCAAGAAATAATGGAGGAAACTGAGGAACCTGTTCTCCTAAAAACATGTCTGACGGAAGTTAAAAAAGAAAAAGCAAAGTTAGAAGAGGTGTTGTTGTCAGCAGATGCACAGGTGTTTAAAGACCGTGAGGAGGGTAATTGTGAGGAGATCGCAAAAGATTGTTCTCACTTGTCTCCTTGTTGCGACCACAACCTACAACAGAAAGCAGATGTAGGAGATCAAGATAAAAAAGGGTTTGAAAATGTTCCCCCTAAAGAGAGAAAAGAACTAGAAGAGGGAAAAGATGATGAAACCACCACACAAGTCTCCACCGTAGACACTGACAGTGGTTGGATAGACTCACAAGGTACTCGATTTTCTAAAATGATCAATTTTACCAAATTCTGAAACATATCTGTTTAATTCAGTTGGAGAAATAGTGCTCTTTGATTCCTCTCCACTGCAGACGAGGACATAAGTATTGTGACTGAAAAAATCGAGGCCCTTCCTCACACCCAGAGCTCTACCACTGCGCCTGTGGTGGTGGACAGACCCACTAAACGGGCACCTGGCAGAGGAAGGAGCCGACCTGGTGCCACTGAGAGCAAAGTGTCCCGCAGAGGACCAAGAGAGGAGATGAAGAAGAAAAAAGGTCTCAATATGTGAAGTTATGTTTAGCTCAGAACTGCATTGAGCAGGTTTACTGTCATACCTTTATGTCAAGGAGAGATTGGGTGATTTTTTAACTTTATTGTACGAGAGCATAAACTGTTTTTGTTACATTTAATTAAATGTATAACTGTCACCTCAGTAACATTTACAGTTACTGAGCAGTGTCTCATAAGGGACTTGTCGTTGTTGCATAACATTTTTAGTTTATTGTGTAATAGTGAGCCTGTAGATGCAACAAGTCGTATAACTTAGCATACATTGCATTGAATTAGTTATTTACTTGGTGACTTTGCTGGTAAATCTATGTGGTAAAAAACAACAAACAAACACCCATTTTTCTTTTGACTAAGAAACCAAATGCCAGGATAACAATGTCTCTCCTTTTTGCCAATAGGCATTAGGAGGGTTGATCAAAATAAGGTGTCAGTCCTCCAAAGTCGTTCCCCATCTCGAAAGAGCGTAGCCAAAGCGGCAGCCAGACATCCTAGGCCTGCTCTGCTTCATGGCTCTGCTAGACGCAAGGCAACAGGTGAAAACCTTCATGGGAATCAGTGCCTTGGATAGAGAGAGTTGAGCCTCATGTCATCATAATTGAATGTCTGAAAATCACTAAGACCAGGGAGAAAAAAAGCATGGACTCTCTCTATTGATGGCTCCGGAGGATCATTGCAGGAACGATGTAGCTGGCAAATATAACATGTGCAGCTGACTCATTGTCTATAACACTTTTCTTTTCTTTTCTTTTTTTCAATATGTAATCACATCAATTTTTTATCTTTTTGTTTTTAATATATCTTTTTTTGGTTTGCCTTTGATTCTTCTCTTTTCTTTTTTCACTGATGTTGTAGCTTGTGAGTGTGTTTTTGTTTGTTTTTTTGGTTTGTTTGTTTTTAATTCAGTGATGGCTTGTTGAAAAGCTGGCTTCAATCAGTTGATGTGTGATGGTCAGGTCCGTCCTCAGGAAGTGTCTGCTGCAAGAGAGCGTTCATGCACCAACTATGTTTTATGAAAATGTGATTTTATTTTACATGACGTGAGTCTTTGGTATAGTGTGTATGCTTGCTTTGGGTGCTCGCGCATGCGGATGTCTCCCCCTGCTGGTTCGTATTTATTATTAAAGACAGGCTGCTGTTATCTTCACAGGAATGGAAAGTCATCAGCCTCTCAGTGTCGCTCACCAGTCTAGGGAACGGCCCACTGTAAGTCCCATCATCTATTACTGTACATTTATATCACCACGTTCATTCAACCAACTGTGCTGTATTTCCCCTCCTCTCTAGCTTTTTACTATATCATTGTAACTACATAAAACAGTTAGACAGTTAGACAGAAATCCAAACATTCTTTAACACTGAATTATATAAGGATACCCAATGGCTAGTCATTTACAATACGCTATAAATTACAATGTATTCATTCACAACTAGAGATTGGTCTTATCAAATACTACTACAATTGATTTAATATTTTCTTATTCAGTGCTGTCAAATGACACAAGTAATGCTAAATGTTTGCAGCAACATGAAATGCTAATGAACGTTCAAAGAAGAGAACCTATAGGAACCTATATTAAAAACATTTAAGGACAAAACAGCATATGAAATGAATGTAATAGTTAATTGCTACTTTATTAATACATATTTTCATAATTTTATGTGTACATTTTTGTGTGTAGTTTTTTTATTTAATGTTTTTATTTATTTTCTTCATTGTGACAGTTAATGACATGTATTCCATCATCATTTTGTTTGATCTAACTTCACTTCTCCATCTTGTTTCTTATTTCTGTCTCACCTGCATCTCATCTGTCCTGCCTGTTAACCATGATAACATCACGTGACCCAGAGCCCCTCCAGAACTGCACTACATGGCAGTTCAGTTCTGCAGGTCAGGGTGTAGAAAAGGCAAATTGGATGAACTGAAAGTGGGAAATAGTCATTACGATGCAAGGTAAAAAAGTCTTTGTTTGTGTGTTATAATTCAGGAGAGAGCGTACCGCAGTCCAGAGAAGAGATCGTCTCTCCCCAGACCGGCCAAGTCTCTAACGCGCCACATCCCTGCTGCTGAGCAAGACGATGGCACCCCCTCCAGGCCAAGCTGTAAGATTACACCGAAATACATTCAAAATACAATCTACATACTGTACATTCCTTTGCAAAACTGCCCTAGTATTGACAATAACAATGTTCCTATATGATAAATTGAAAATGATAATAAAATAACTTTTTATCATTTAATTATAATAAAACATACACAATGCCCTGCTCTATTCTAACAAATGCTCCACACCCACTTTATCTCCGACCCCCTATTCTTTGGCTCCCTCTCTTTCCTAAAGCGATCCGTACTGACACCAGAGCAGACTGCAGATCCAGAAGAGCCCCTAGTATGACAGGTAGACCACCCTGTAGCCCCAGTAAGACCCTCTTCAGCAACATCTAGTAGTTCCTTTAGTGACATCCACACCAGGACGCTGGACTCCTCTATATCGTCATCATCCATTGACATGACATGTTCTTCTTCATTTTTCATACTGGTAGTTGTTTGTTTTCCCTGTCATTAGAGAAAAACTATTTATTACAATTATTTTAAGTCGTATTGATATTTGACCAAATGTATGAATGTTGTCTTTAAAGATCAGGCCTTTATGTGTGGAAATGTTTACCAGTTGAAAATAAACCCTGAATGTGGCAGAAATGAAACAAGCTGCACTAAAAACCTCAAAGAAGAAGAAACAGATGAAGCCAGGAGATAGGCTGAAAATAATCTATTAATGTCCTAAAATCAATTCCTTTTTTGGGTTACAAACGGTAACTGGAGGATTGAGAGTACTTGACTGTTAGTACTACTGCAGGTCGACCTGCCTGTACCTTGTCGTCAGACTCCAAAATAAATCAATACTGTGTCTTTATCAGTTCCCTAATTACACCACATCCACAGTAGATACTAGATACCTTGGTGTAAAACAATTAACAAGTACATCTCATATTTAATTCAGAGAGTGGTGATTTCTTTTCTTTTTACTCCGTCATTCGCACTTGCTCGTATCAGAACATACACTGTTGTGTACCAAAGTACATCTCCACAGTATATGTTCTGTACATAAACAGCCTCACTCACCTTTAAACATGGCTGTCAGCTGACTTGAGGTTGTTAGTGGCTTTGTTAAGGCTAAATATTCCTTATCTGTGTGAACAGCTGGGACCAGTAACGACAGGTTTGTTCCTTGTCTGGCAGCTGTATCCCAGCAGCTGCCTGTGTTTGCTTTTACCACACATATATTCCTGTTTGATGTGGCCTTATTTAGTTTAGTTATGTAAGACTAAATGCAGGGTTCAGCACTCCATGTGTAGATGTCATTATCACCGTCATTGTCTTCATCATCGGTGTTAGTCCATCAGTGTGTCTGTGTTTCTCCTCTTTTCTCTCAGCATGTCTGAAGCGACCATGCCTGACTTTTCTTCTCCTGCTCCGGGACGAAGATTCTCTAGGCCCCTTTCAATTATTTTTATCTTTCTATACTCATCTAAACTCTTCTGTCCTCCAGGTACAGACCTGGCACGTTCTCGATCGGTCCGCAGCGGCGCCTCCACACCTGGTACTCCACCCAGTTACGCCTGCCGTTCCCCCGGCTCACGCACCCCGGGAAGCCACACACCCAAGTCCTTCAGCGTACTCCAGGAGAAGAAGATCGCTGTGATCCGAACCCCACCAAAGTCGCCATCATCTGCACAGCGACAGCTCAAGGTTCTCAATCAGCCTTTACCTGACCTGACAAATGTCAAGTCCAAGATCGGCTCCACCTCCAATCTAAGGCATCAGCCAAAAGGTGGACAGGTATGGGAACTGCGAAGAGACGTTTTCTAAAGAATTTAAATAATTCTGACTGGATTAATACATTTCACCAAAGCAACATTAAAGGTAGCGGAATTTACAAAAATTAAATTTTGAATATTATTTGATAATAATATTATTTTTTTATAATGTATTAGTTATAAAGTTGTCCAGGGCACTGCATTTATTGCAATCTCTTTTATTTGTTTTTCATTTTAAAGTTTAAAATATAAGCTTTAAATATTTCTGCCACAAGGAAACTGTAAAATTATACTGTATTTCACAATTCTACCAATTTGTTGGCAGGACACACACCATTAAACTTCTCTTCTTTATTTCTGCTCAGTGATGGAAACCAGAAATACTTTATTGATCTCAAAGGAGAAATTGTTGAATAATGGATTCAAACTGTTAAGAAATGAACTACAAAAATGAATCTTGTGTTTAATATAGATTTAGTAGTAGCTGCAGTATAAACAAAGTGTCGTGGGATTATATCCTAAATAAGAGGTAACTAACAAAATGATATCGCACTCCTGTTGTTTTCTCCTCTCTTTGGCTTTGACTTTTCTTATTACCAGTCAAAAGGGGACATTCTTGTTTTCAGGCTCAATCTGACAGTTATTGTTTCGGTTGATGTCGTAATGATGTACAGTATAATCACACAGGTCAGTTTTCATTAGCATTAAGTACTAAACACAGTGATGAGTTAATTCATCACCACTGTGCAAAGTATCCCATTCTCTGAGGGTGTAAATAAGACAAAGTGAAAAACGTTTTAATCGGACTGAATTATGCATGACTTTGGAGCAGATGTGAGCAAACTAAAGTTAGCCATTTTAACTCCGCCCTTCAAACTCTGGGACAAATTGCCCTGATATTATAAAGAGCGCACATGGGCCATATCTGTCAAAACAATCAGACTGAACTACTAAAATATCCAGTTTTAACACATATTATAGTTCATGAAAAACATTGCATACTTAACCTTAAATAGAACACCGAGTAGCCCTGGAGGTTTCTTTTATGTTGTTGCAGCTATTTCATTTACTGTGTCTTTGATTCATCACAGGACATGAAATAATCTTTTAACGTATTTAATTGTAAAACACTGATATAAATCTGCTAAACAGCAGAGGTCAAAGGGTCTACACTGAGTCAAACATGCTTCATATCTTATAATCTTTTGATTTTGTTTTAGGTTCAAATTTTAAGTGAGAAGCTGGACTTCAGTCATGTTCAATCCAAGTGTCGCTCCATGGATAATTTGAAGCACTCGCCTAAAGGAGGCAACGTATGTCTTTTCTTTGGTCCTTCTGTCCTTCCATTCATGCATAAAAAAAAGGAAAACCTGCGGCAGTAAACTTCCTGTTATTTATCTGTTGTCGGTCTTGATCAGCTGATTTTTTTTTAAATCATCCAAGCTCTTACTACTCTCACTCTCACCATCTTGGCTGTTTCTGTGTGTACAACAATAAATAACTTTCTTTTACTCCAAGGTCATGATTCCGAGCGTGAAGCTGGACTTTAGCCATGTCCAGGCCAAATGTGGCTCCCTGGACAAGATCTATCACTCAGCAGGAGGAGGAAATGTGAGTGGGTTTCTGCAGGAAACTCCTTTTGGCTCCTTGTCTTCATGTGAATTACACTAGTAGCTTTAGAGATTTAATTTTGGTTAAGACTGGTTTGTCTATTACTGACATCATGGACATAGGGTAATTTCCCAGTCTTAAAGAAACTGGACTAGAAAGAAAACGAGAAAAGGATGTGTTATGCTGTCAAACTTTCTAAATCTGACAATTCATTTCTTAAAGGTTGCTTCAACCTAAAACAATAATGACAGTTTGAAACCTTCAGTGTGTATCTCAGCTGGAAGTTTTGGGTGAAGAGAGAATATTGAAACTTGAATATTTGTGTTGGTTTGAGTAGAAGCTCATTTTACCTTGCATGCAGGAGAATAATTATTAATTTGCACATGTCTGTGTTTACCATGGACACTCCTTCATTTGTAAGTAATCACAATGACAGTTAAAATATTGCATTGATTTAAAAAACAAAAAAGAATTGTAACCTGTCTTGCTGAATGTCTCTCGTCAATAATCCAGGTTCAAATCCAGAATAAGAAAGTAGACCTGAGCCACATCACCGCCAAATGTGGATCAATGTCCAACGTCAACCACAGACCAGGTAACGCTCAGATTATGGTACATTTGAAGAAAGATTTTTAGATTTGACACCCTTTCTCTCTTGTTTGTCTGCTCTGCTTTTCCTAGGTGGAGGCAATGTTCAAATTGAAAATGTCAAATTGGACTTCAAAGAAAAAGCCCAGGCCAAGATCCACTCCTTGGACAACACCAGGCACACCCCAGGAGGAGGGAATGTCATGGTATAAAACACTGGAAGAAATGCTATGCTCTTGAGACAGAAACCAAACTCTGGTGTTAACTTGTCTTTTATTGACAGATTGAAAGCCACAAGCTGAGCTTCAGAGAGCAGGCCAAAGCTCGTGTTGACCACGGTGCCGAAATCATCATCACCCACACACCTGGGTATGAGACGGGGGGCACATCTCCTCAACGATCATCCGCGGGCAGCATCAATGTGGAGTCCCCACATCTCTCCACACTGGCCCAGGACGTCACTGCTGCCCTGGCTAAACAAGGCTTATGAGCTTGGAAACAAAACCCATTATCATCCAGTGTTGTCCCCTACATTTGCCCGACCCTTCCTCACACGGCCAACAGGATTTGAAAAATGTCACTGTTTTTAGATTAATCCACATTCCTTCCCTTTTTTATCCCTGTTTTAGTCCCTAAAACATGAACTTTTGCTTTCTTTTAGCTAGACCACACACTGAGCTGCAAAAAAGGAAACTACGATGGTTTTAAAGATTGTACAGTTGAATTTCCTAGAGTTTTGCTCTTTACATTCCTCTTGTTTTTTGTGAATGTTTTTAGGTGTGCATTTGAGCATTCTGAATTTACAAGGTACTGATTGGAAGATGTCGCCCGACTATAAGATGCTAAATCTAGGTCTTAAAGATATGTCTGTGTAGAAGGGCTGATGAGCATGTTTGCGAAAATGTTTCATTTTCAGTTTGAAGACAATATTTTTTTGGGGGGGGTTGTTTGTTGTTTGATATCTGTATGTGCTGGTTGTTGGGCGGAACTGTGTTTTATTATCGTTTTCCTTTCAAAATATATATATATATGTCAATATAGTGGAAGTGGTTGATGTTCCTGTATGTTCGCTGTGGCTGCACTGGCTACTTAGCACTTAAAAAAGGCTAAATGGCTACTTTTCCAAAAAATCTACTTCTTTTTCTTCTCTGCAAAAAGTAAAACAAACATAAGCTGCTCTTTTTTCTAATATGTTTTTACATTAGCTTTGTGGTTCTTTCAGGCTATGACACTGCTGTTGTGCTGGCATGGCAACTCAAATATGACAAGTGTTCATGTGTGAAGGTCTGAGTCTCTCCTGCTCTGATTCCCACCATTTGTGCATTTTTACAGTGGACGACCGTCAACCTGCAGTTGTTCATTTAAAAAAAAGATCAGAGGTTGTAGCATTTCTCCTCCTCCTGCTGTGTTTCCCTCTGTGCCCCCTCTGCTCTTCCCTGTGTAAAGTGTATTTAAAGACCATGTAGATGTGTGCACTGCTGTCATGTTGACTGACAAATGCTCCTACAGGATGACGACAGAAATAAAGGAAAATAAAGGAAATAAAAACTGGATGCCTGCTGGTGTTTTTATAAAACCCATGACATCATCTTTTTTCTTCCTTTCTGTTTTATTGAAAAATGTTTGTCTTTTCTAACTCAAGTCTGAATTTAACAGGATTCTTTAACACAATTTTCATTCATTCATCCATCTGTCACCAGAATTCCAAACTTTCTGAATTCTGAAACGACAGAAAATCTTTACAATCTGACAGCAGTATTACTGACAGATTAAATTAAAAAAAAATCTGACTTGAATATAGTACTTTAATATGTTAGATAACAGATAACAAGACTCTGCCTTCTGTCCGATTCTTCATCTGAATGAAGACCCGTCTGACATGTTTATTCTGGATTAGGTCATAAAAGACACATTTCTGAAGTTTTGAATCAACCATTGGACTTTACACCAAGTCTATATTTAAGAAATCTTTAAAAAAAAGATTTTCGAACCAACTCAATGTTTTACCTCAGAGGTTAGGTTCTGAGGTAAAACCTTATAATTTAGATAGGTCAAAACTGTCTTTCTTAAGATTTCTTGAAGATAGACTGTGGTGTTTTCTCCTTAATTTATAATTTGTCTTTTATTAACTTTTATTAATTTCTATAAGCTGTTAGCACAGAACTCCACTTGGTGACATTCTCTTAAACTTTTGTTTTGATTTGATTTGTTAGTCCATGGTGTAACAACACCTTCGCCTTATTTCTGTGTGACATCAGGCAATAGATGTAGTGTTGGATTATATAACCTGTTGATATTGAATTGGCAGATGGCGAAGGGAAAGGGAAAATGACGCCATAAAAATAAAAACATCCAGATGTAAGAGAGTGAAATCAGTCTTGTTCTACATGACAAACACGAAGACATCAGCACACAGCTGGAGACTGTGGCTTTAACGATGATCAATTA